TTGAAGCTATGGAATCTTGTTATGCATAGTTATCTTATGTTGGGTATGTGTGAGGAATTTTAGCTTGTAGAGGAGGGAGAGTCCCTTTTCTTCCACATGAGATTTTATAATTATCCATCAGTAGTTGTGCTTGACATCCTGGTTTACTGTTTCCACTTTATGGTTTGCTTCATCATTTGATTGCTCCGTCTGTTCATGGTTTCCAGTCTCATCCGCTGCAACCTGATGGTTTTGGATTAGCCCGGCCCCGGTGAGGGGCACGGGCCATGCCTGCATCCTGCCACATACATTCAGCATCTTGAGGGGGATGCTGAGCGGCAAAATGTTGCAATTGGTAGGGTGCAGGCATGAACAACTGAGACCTGGTGGAGTGGATTGTTCAGTTTGCAGTATTTTCCACATCCATCCACCAGTCTCAGTTTCACAGAGCCTCCTGCATTGCTCTGAGGATGCTCATATGCCTTGGCAGTTCCATTGCATGGATGAGCACTCAAAGCTATGATGATTATGACGGCGATGATGACGACAAATTAAATCAGCAAGAGTTCAGAGCCGGCAATCTAAGAAGTTTGATCTGTTTTAGGTTTTTATTCTCATTTTCCATTATTTTTTGCCTTCTTTAAGCTCCCTGTTTCTACGTATGAAGTATTGTAACAAAGTACTGCTTGATTTATTTCACAGCCTCATCAAAGCTCCAAGCAGAAAGGGAACTCAGATAGAGATTTCGAGTAAATGTGTTAACAGGACATGCAGCCTTTGGTAGTTTTGGTGCCAGACTGACAGTGATAACAGAGAGCTCTGTTCTCCTATGGCAAAGCAATCTCCAGGAGAGACTCTGCACATTATGTATTTAAACAAAAAGTGTTTCCCCTTTCCTTTTTGTTCAGACAATATTCAACTGCTTTGGTCTTTCACCGACATATTTGTAGCTGAAGCGTTTTGTTCAAAACTCTTTCATTTCTCGTTACCAAAATGACCCTAACTGGTAATTATCCCAGTGTTGCCCTATGGTTTACAAATCCTAGGTTCTCGACGGAGAAACAGGATGCATTTTGACAAGTGTGATTACCATCAGGGTCAATTTGACACTTGGTGGTCACATTTGGTCCAGTGAGCAGGGCATAACACTCATGGTGTTGCGCCGAATTGGGTAACCTTGTATCTCTTCTATGTTCAGTGTCGAGAAAATTAGACTGAAAAACACGAGTAGAAGTGGATGAAAACTTCAAAATGGTATTCATGCACAAACTGGTGCTTCCCAATAAAGGCAATTCCGTATTAAGAGGACTTGAATTCGAGACCTTTGGTTAACTCTACTACCACAACCTTTGTTGCTTAGCAACACATTATTACCAAGGCTATCCTAAACCTCAAAATATTTGCCTTTTTTTTTCTTCGTTTTGTTGTCCCTTGTTACGCATGGGGGAAGTACTTATTCTATTCTTTGTTCTTTATATCTTTTCTTAATTAAAAATAATATTTGAAAATTGAAATATTATTTGGACATAAATACAAATTGAAACTATTTCGAATTTTTGTGAGTGTTTTGGAATGTAAATTGTGAAAATCATTTTTTGAAGTTTTAGGAATTCAGAAAAATTATAATAATTCTGTCTAAATAATTTTCCAAAAGAATTTTTTCTTAAAAAAGTAAAAATTATCCATGATCAAATAGATAGTAAATTCCCTTTGGAACAATAACCGCTCGATTGTATATATATTTTTTCCCAAATGAAATCTTTACAAACTTTTTCTGAATTGCTTCAAATATGAATGTTCTTATTCTTTTAAGGAAGTATTTTAGTTAAGTAGTCAGTTATCTATATTCTTGTTTAGGTTGGAGTTGGCTTATTATAAGGGTTAAAAAAAAAAAGATTGTCAGTTTGCTAATAAGAATTGACAATTAAATTCAATTTACAAGACTCAATAACATAAGAAAATCATGGAGTGTGTAAGTGTTGATTACATATTTGTTACACTATCAAGGTAAGTTATCTACAATAACATATAACTATTTATGTCAAGGTAATAATAATCTATTATAGCTATCTTTATTCTTCAATATAACATTTGTTTTTGCATTAATCAAATCATTCAAAGAATTGAAGGAGAACATTTATAAATAAATCATTTTAAAATATAAATTTGTAATTTTAAAGATGAGACAAAATACATATAACAACAAGTAAAACAATTTGATAATATATGACGGGCGCTAAAAAAATCTACATTATTAATGTATGTAACATAAATCCATTTCGTAAATTTAAAGGTCATTGTTTCATAGATTAATCAAGACTTAAATCATATGATTATGTGAACAAAATTGAGGCTCCTCTCATGATTATTGAGATCTCATGTTATAGCCTTAGGTGTCTCCCATGCTCAACTCTAAGCATTCTTGCGTAAGCATGTTTGTGCCCGCACCACTTTTTCCAAAGATTTATTGTCGTATTTTCACTCTATTATTTAACAAAATTATTCCACCCATCCAAATCCACATGCAACAGTATTAGTCTAAAAGTATGTTTGATATCAAACACTTTCAATAAAATTAATAGCCTAAAATGAAATTTTAATAAAAGATCTTAAATATATACAAATATATATAAAATAATAATAATTCATGATTATTTAGTTTTATTTTTACATATTTATTATTTTTAATGTAGTATTTTTAAATAACATAAAACCTTTAGTTAAACTCACATTGGAATATTAAATTAAGTAATAATTTTAGTTAATAAGATGTTACTCATGTATTTGCAATACATTACATTAGATGTAATTGTAAAAAAAATCATTTATTAGTATGAAAAATTGAATTAATTAATTCAAAGTTCTAAAATATTTTTGGTAATATGTATATAATGTTTTGTTTAAAATATAAATTTTAAACCTTTTTTTTTTTTACAATCTTCAATATTGTTTTAAGTGGATAAAATCACAAAAGTCGTCATTAATAATTTTGGCGCCTAAAGCAAATACTTTACTAGTTTAACGTCCCTTGAGTCATCCCTTTAATTTCTCACGTTTGGACATTAATCGAGTTATTTTGAGAAATGTTTTCTCTAAGAAAACAAGGTGCCTAAAAATTAGAGAAGCGACTTATTATGTTAGTAGGAAAACAAATTTCACAAATGACATTCCTAGCTAATTGTCTCTTCCCCACCCAAAGGCCAAGCTAAGATTTCAACTTTATGACTTTTGAATTTTATAATAATGACTTCAATTGTTAACAACTGAGCTTCAAATTTAATACTTAATGAATTTCATTAAATAAATAGGCATAATACATAAATATACCATTTACGTTGGTCTCATTTCACGTTTATGCCCTTTAATTTTGGGTATGCACAAGTAGACACTTAAATTTGTATGAAGGTGAACAAATAGACAGACACACACGTCCTACGTGGCATCATACATGACAATTGCATCCTACATGTATTATGCCACATAAGACTTATGTTTCTAATTGTTCAACTTTATACAAGTTTAAGTGTTACTTGTCCTAAGTGTTTACTTGAACGCATCCAAAGATTGACTTTTATGTATAAAATAAATTTTAAAAATTATACATATAATGTCTGATTGAGGTAGTCTCGGGTTGACTTTTTTTTTTTAGTTAAAATCAAACCAATCCAAGTATAGTAATTTTTTTTTCCAATACCAAACCAAGTCAAACCAAACCATTAGCCAGATTTTTATTTGATTTAACTCGATTTATAATTTGATTTGATTTTCAATTCGATTATGTACACCCCTATCTTATATTGTTTCATTTCCTTTTTTTTATTTGAACGAAGTCAAAATCGATATTTTCAAGGTCATATCTACCTTGATCCAGAAGGAGGCTATGAACATTAGTTTTGGGAGATAATCACTGGTCTAATGCTTCAAATGAAATCAATTTACTTTCCTTTTTATATCATTAAGCTAAGTTGACCTATTATATTTGTATATACTTTTTACATCATCAAGTTAAGTTAACCTACAATAACATAATTTTTTCCATCATCACCAAAAAAAGAGTAGTAACTTGCTATAGCTGTTTAAGTTGTGTACATTTTCAATTTAATATTTTTTTTACATTATCAAGTCATTCAGACTATATTTTTAGTTAGTCTTCTTAAAACGTAAAATTTGTAATCTCATAGGTAAAATAAATAATTTACTATAACAAATAAAATAATTGAATGGTGAGAAAATTCTTATTTTAACAAAAAAAAATTTACATAAAATTAAATTATCATATGTGTGAACAAAATTGAGATTCCTCACATGAATATTCAAGTCTCCTGTTTATAGCATCATATATCTCCCGTGCTCAAATATTGCATAAGCATGTTTGTCTACCCCACAAGAGGCATTTTTTTTCTCACTCAGAATGTCTCTTTCTTGGCTTTATACCTTAACAACTTATTATTACAAAGCAATATCCATGTGCAATAAGGATGTGTTTGGGTTATTTTTCAATTTTCATATTTTTTATTGGTTAATATATTTTGAAATATGTATTTTTAAAGAATTTTTTTTTTTAATAATTAACAAAATGTTTTTTTTTATGAAGATAAAACAATTTTGATATTATCGACTTGACATTTTCCTTTAAGAAGGTGTTTATCACTCTCTCTGTTTCATATAATTGTTTGATTTCTCCTTTACGCGCCCTTTCAGAAACTATAAATAAGAAGGGCAGTTTTAGAAGTTTATTCCTTAAAATATTTTTTGAAACTTTACAAACTTGTTTACACTTAAAAAAAATAAAATTAACTACAAAGGTAAGATGTGAAACATTTAATTAATTTTACGGAATTTTATCATGATTTTGTAAATTGACAAGTAATTTGGGACAACTATTTATAGCAATGTGATGGGACCAAGGAAATACTGTATTCGTACCAAAATAAGTGTCTATTTAACAACTCATGTTCCTTACAAAATTAATAAATACAATGTGTAGTTAACTAAACTACCCTTATTTAATAAATGTTTCTAGAGAATTGATAGAACGACGATATCAATAGTTCATAATATGGACAATTGATGGAGCCAAAATTGCAACTTCATGGGTTCTAAATGATAGAACGACGACATCAATGGTTTATAATTGACTTTAAATTTAATATTTGTACATACTTAATGAATTTCTTAAAACAAATATGTTGTTCAAGTAGAAGTTACTTAATTTGACTGAATCCATATTCAGACTTCTAGCTCCACACTAACCTCCACCCCACCCCTACCTCCACACCAAGGTGTTTGCCTAAATAATAGTGTATGAAAGCTCTTGGGACAATATTTTATGCTTACCAACCGAGCGGAAGGAGAGTATTAGTAACGAGCTCGAGCTCGGACAACCCCATAACTTTTATCAGATTAGATATTTGTATTAAGAAATTTATTATGTGTAGATATTTAATTCCCAACCTATTAATTTTTCATGAAAATGTTCTCCGTCATACCAAACACACCATAACTCTTTCTCACTTTTAAAGCAAAATCTAGCGTCTACTTCGTAAGAGGAAAAAAAACAGAGAGGTTTTTTTCTCTTTCCCACACTTGATGGTTAAAGTGCACTTTGACCTGTGTTTTGTTATGAGTATAACGAAAAGTGTGGGGGCTATGCTGATCAGGTAATCAATACTTCTTTTTCCTAGTGAACTGTGCTATTCTCGTGTGACTCTTGGCATGTTTATCAATTAGTCTCTACCAAGTTTACATGCATATGACTATATAAATATATGTATTTTTTCAAACATAGCCCAGAAAAATAAGAGTCATTCTCAAGGTACTGATCCCCTCGAAGTTCCTACTAACACAAGGTAATTCTTTTTCTGTTTCTACTTTGCTCAATTCAAACTTCAGTCTACCAGATAATTTTCATAACAACATAATGTCTGCAAGTACAATATATGCACTGCAGATAATTTTCTATATTATGTTTCTGTATGATGTATCCTAATCTGGTTTTGTCACTTTTGTCAAGGTATCTTTCAGGGCAAAGCAAGCAATACAGCAATGGAAAGAGAGAATTCAGAGCTGTACCTGCGCAACTGTCAGATTATTCGCGAGAATGAGAGGCTGCGGAAGAAAGCTCAACGTCTCAACCAGGAGAATCAAGCTTTGTTATCAGAGCTGAAACGGAAGTTAGCAGCTAAAAATGCCAAGCGGAAACCTGGATTTGAAGTTGAATTGGGTTCGAATTCTGTCAGTGATCAAATGGAAGCCAACAAACGTCAGGCACTAGAATGAGAGGTGCTTTATGCAGTTCAAAATTATGAGAAATTTCAAATTGGGTTTTACCAATGTCATAGCAATTACCAGGCAATGTGCCATTTGAAACTATTTATTGTTGCATTTACTCCAAAATAATGTGCTAGTTTAGTAATCAAATCGAAGTGCTTAGATAAAAGGTCTACTACCAATTGTACTCCCAAGAACAAAAACAAGGAAAATAATTATGCTATTAAGGGGTTGTGAACTAAAAGGCTAAGTTTTTCACTTCATCAATTATCAATCCACATTCAACTTCCTGTCTATGCTTGAGAATGACTGGTAAAATGCCTTGAAGTGCTTGTATGCAATATCCACATCTTCCTTTCCACATATCTCTCTCACGCTGCAATTCCAGAAAAGCAAAGTGAATTTATGGAAATTGATGACCAACTTAACGAAACAGGTGACCAATTAGAGCAAGAAGAAGATATATATTAACAGAGTAAAATATGTTAGTGTCCCTCAAGCAACATGTAACCATTTCATGAAATCAAACTACCATGTTCCAATTACAAATTACATCTTGAAACTTCATAAGTTAATTATTTAGCTGTCTGTCATTTATTTTACACCATAGAAATTTTTTAGTCTGAAAGAGTACACAAAATGTACATTTTTATAGAAGGTACCTGGATGTTGAACATTTTTCTTTCAGGATTACTTCAATTCGAAAAAAGTCAAAGTGTATAACATCTGATCCCTACTTGCCTGAAGGACAAGCACTGCAGCTTGATAATATAGATCATTACCAAATATGGGCTCAAGCAAAATTCTATGTCGGATGATGCATGACAAAACTCAAAGTAAACTAGTTATAGACCGCTGCCTCTTATTACATTTCAGGTAAGGAAATACTTTTTTTGCTTTTGGAAGTCCGTCGTTTTCTTCCTTTTGTGACAGGAGTTCAGGAACTAAGGGTAGAGGAATATTTTTTTGGATTTCAGAAGTTTGTTTATGTTTTGCCTAATGGAAACCAGTCACTGGTGTATAACCAACTTTCAGATAAATGGAAGAAAATTCTTGGAAATCCCATGAAGCGCTACATTGAATGGAGAAACTAAATAACAAGGTACCTGTGCATGGATAGCTGAGCAATACCACAATCAACAGTACGTATTCCAACTCCTGCAGCAAGTATTGGACCTATAGTTGATCCACATCCCATATCATTTCGCACCACAAAGTCCTGTAAGGATTTAAAAGAGTGGTTGCTTTATACAAGCTTACATACTTGGATCTTAAAATTTTAATAGAAGTCATACACAAGATTTGTTAATGAGAGGCTGCAGCACATGTGGAGTTTCCTCTCATATCATTGATATAAACTCCAACATATTTTCTTATTGATATATACTGAGCATACAGTTCTACTTCTTGGAAACCTCTTACAAACTGAACAGAATACATCAGAAGAGTATTATAGCTAAGATTGTGCCTAGCTGTCTTCTTGCAAAAGATGTAGAGAAAAGTACTTAACAAAGGACTAAACTACACAGTATTTTTTCATGATATCCTCTCTTGACTGAATTCAACAAAACGGAAGAGCTCTCTATTTTATTTGATGCAACTCTTTATTTAGTCTCTGGACTTCTAGCCTCTTATGTGCTCTTCTTCCTTGTGTATAAACTTATGTTCATATTGAAAAGAAATCACATAATTATAGGACAGGCAATAACATACGTTGTCATGGGAGTCCTACTTCTTTATGCAATAAGAGGGAGAGATATTAGGAGCTATGCTTCCACTGAGGAGGTGAGGGGCCAAACAGGGAGACACATAAATGGCTAAAACTCACTTAATTTACATGTAAATGCCTAGATAAACAAGGAGTCTTGTTATATAGAACCTTCATTTGTGATGAGGTAAGACCTAGAAAATAAAACAAGTACAGAAAACGAAAGAAAAGATGATATGCACTTGAAGATTAAGAAGAAAGAGCAAGAAAAGTACATAAATCTCATTAATGGTTAATTAAGAGCAATATATCAAGATTATAAAAGTGTATAATACCTTACGCCTGGAAAAGAAGGCTCTTATCTCAAAAGACACAAGAGAAAACCTAAGCAGCTACCATGAACAGTTTGACTAATGCACTCTGGAATAGTTAGTGCAACTTATAGTTGAGATAGTGATACACCAGTTAATACATTTGTAGCATTAATGCGTAGGATTTGAATCCCTAATAGAAGTTACAAGTTGACTCTTGAATAAGGGATAGAAGGGATTCAATTAATAGGTCAAGTCATGGCTTTTGTTCCCTCCTCCTATTTCTTTGATGGTTATGCTAAAGCACTTGGAAGTTGAAAATTACCTGTGTCGGAAGGCTGTGGAGTCTTGCAACTTCTTTAAAAAGAAAAGATGTAATTCCACTCGTAGCATAGCGTTGATTTGCATTATGCTTGATTACAAGTCCCTTCTGTAATTCAGGACGGTGGTGCTCCTCATGCTTATCAATAAAATTAGGGTGAACTCCATGAGCCATATCAGCAGACACTGTTGTTTGAATGAGATACTAGACAATAAGTTTCACATGATATGTAAAGGGAAAATGATGTAATTTGACAAGAAAGCTGGAAATTGATTTTTCCTCCTTTCTGTATGTAATGACATCAAAAGTTATTTCCATGTTAGACCCCACAAATTCTGGTAGAATCTATGGACAAGGAAAATGATGTACTACTTGGCTGGTTTGCATCACACCTACAATCACACTAGCCTTTCTATGAAGGAACAAGTTTTTGGGGAACTCTTTAGACCTTCTTGTTACATGGAATGGGAAAGACTCCATCCTTAAGCAAAGGCTGTTAGGTTTATCAATAAATTATTGCACTCGTCAAGGGAAACCTTAACACAGACACTTAGTGAGTCCAAAGTGCAATAGTGTATACAAGTTAACATAAACTCAAATAACGAACTTATTAGTTTTCATTTGAAAAGACAATTACTAATACACATTTGCATGTAATCAGATTTATATGTTCAGCAAATGAAACTGAAGAGGTGTAAGTTTACAGGGCCCAATACTGAATTTATTACTGCCTTCTGAAAGAATCATGCAAAGCAATAACCTTTCCCACTGTACTGTCTTATTTTGAGCTGGTCAATTGAATTACGGCTGCAGGAAATGAGGAACAACTGTTCACATAGGAAGGACTTAAGAGTATGGAGTAGTCCATTCATATTCAGAGATATTGAAAGGCCACAGACATATCAAGAAAAAGTACCAAGAAAAGAGTGGCGAATCGCGCGGGCAAAATCAGTTTCTCCTGCAGACTGATGACTTAGACAGTCAGTTATCCGTCTCATTGCCTCAAACATAGTTGGCGCACCAGCTCCTTGGCATGAATCTGAACCAACCTAAAGTCTTGATGGAGTTAGACCTCATGCTTAAGTAAATGGGGAACTGAAACAAGGAATATCAATTCAGATAGCTGATTCAAAGTTCAAGTTCAAGTTCAAGCCAAACTCGACTGATTGCGTAAAGAAATGTTTGCCAAGTAAGAGAATGTGAAACTTATTGTTCATTAACTTGTTTTTAGGTGGAACATGTAAAAAGAAGCTAAGAAAGAGGATACAGAATAGTAGAAAAAATGCCTATAAAGAGGATTTAGAATACTGCTAACTGATCTTTATTGCTTTTGTGCTCACATGCAACATTTGACAAACATGACAGATCTATCTAAATCAGACAAGTATTTTCAAGACAAAAATTTGGTCTGGGATAAGAGCTTGGAATATTCTTAAACTTAGAAATTGAACAACAACTGAACTGATGTTCCTCAAAATGTACCTTTCATATAAGAGAGCATCTGTAGATTGCAGAAGAAAAAAATTAAGGAAATCACTGCTAGAACTTTCAGACTGCGCATACTTCCTACCTCTTCATTATCAAAAAGAGCGATCATCCGAATTGAATTCTCATTTGATAAATCTTCGGGCAAAGCACATGAATCAACAAGAGCTCTCAAACCACAAAAGCTCGATGCAAGATTATCCAGTCTTCCAGAAAATATGAACTCATTATTAGCACCTCCAAGGCAGCTAGGTTGAGTATCACAAATATTTAACTCAACACTAACTATGTCTTCAATTTTACAGCTGAGTTCATCTGACAAGATCTGCGATCACAGAGCAATACATCAATGTTCATATCCAGTAATCCAGAATAGCCTTCGCCCGTCATTCCCTTGTGTAAATCATGTAACAAATTAAATATGTTGGAAATCAGATAGAAGAACAGAACAGAAGCAGACTCATGATAATGCCAAATGAGAAGTGTGTAACAACAAATCAGTGCTGCTACCACCAAAAGCAAGTAAACTAATATAGACAAGGCATTCTAATAAACATGCATGTGACAAAAACAGCAACGTGATCTACTGAGAATCGAGAATCAAGAGAGCTTCCAGCTTCTCCATCAGCTAAAGTATGGTCACTAGATATTTAATGCATTTGTTTTTGGAAACTACTAGCAGCTAAAGCTCTGTGTTTCCAGTCGGTTATCCTTGAAATGGAGGATGTTCTGATCCACCAAGCTTGAGCCTATAAATAAGCTCATCGACAGAATTTTTCCATAGAAGAAGGTAAAGAACCAGCTTTTTGTGCCTTGAACCTCTGCCATTTAGCTACCCATCTTGACCACTTATTCGGCACATTATTTTAACATTCTGAAAGTATCTCTTATATGCTGAAATGCTGATCAATATACTACAGATTGTCAAAACAAATCTTGATTGGAAGCAACATAGAAATAGAGGGTTAAAGCATTCACTGTCTTTGACCAGGGAATGAAATAATGAGGAACCCATAGGTCAGTCTACATATGAAGATTAATAACATGATCAGGTAATTCCAGGAAAAAATGACGAAAGGAGTTCCTCTTTTTTGTTGTCAGTCAAAAGATTTCTTCAAGTATCTATGGATTGACCATACAATCAAGAAATTTTCTTGGACTACAAGTCAGATTTAGTTTAAATAATATGAACAACTACCT